TGAGCGGTGCGGCCTGCCTGGGCTCTGGTGCCCCCCACTGTGGCTGGTGTGTGCTGCAGCACAGGTGAGGGTGGCAGGGTGAGGTGGGCCACTGGCCTGGTCCACCTCTCCCTAGCCATGCCCTGGCAGCCTCCCTGCCACCCCTACTTCTTCCAGCCTGGGGCTCAGGGGACAGGCACAGAGCTGGGCAGGCTGTCTCCTGCCCCCAGCCTCCTACTGCTGACCTGACCCCAAACAGGTGTTGCCGTAAAGGGGCCTGTCCAGGTGCTTCTGCCCTACATGGCTTTGCAGAGGAGCTGAGCAAGTGTGTCCAGGTGCGGGTCCGGCCCAACAACGTGTCAGTGACATCGCCTGGGGTGCAGGTGAGCAGCCTGGAGGGCGCTTGGGCATTGTGCATGTGAGGGGTGCCCTGCTCTGAGCCTCTGCCTCCTCCAGCTGACGGTAGCCATGCGCAACGTGCCCGACCTCAGTGCTGGCGTGAGCTGTGCCTTTGAGGAAGTGACAGAGAGCAATGCCGTCCTGCTGCCTACTGGCGAGCTACACTGCCCCTCCCCCTCGCTCCAGGCGCTCCAGGCTCTGACCAGGGGCTACGGTCAGTGGGCTGGGGCTGGCTGGGGTGAATTGGGGCCACTTCCTGTTCCACCAACTCATGCCTGTCCCGGGCCTGCAGCAGGCGCCACCCGCACCGTGAGGTTACAGCTGCTCTCCAAGGAGACTGGAGTGAAATTCGCTGGGGCTGACTTTGTCTTCTACAACTGCAGTGTCCTCCAGTCGTGAGTAGCTGGCCCAGACCCATCCCTACCCCTGGGGACAGGCGAATCGTGCAGGATGGCTGTCTCTGGGGGCCTCGAGGCTTCCTGTCAGGCATCCCTGCCCTCTGTCCCTGGACCTTGCATCCCCCATATGTGACATGGGCCTTCGGCAGCCCTGAAGAGTGCTGTGGGAGGGCCAGTGAGGGGCAGTGGCAACTGGGCCCTCTGTCATTTCTGAAGCCAGCTCTCCGCCCCTAGGTGCATCACCTGTGTTGGGAGCCCTTACCCCTGCCACTGGTGTAAGTACCGCCACGTGTGTACCAGCCAGCCCCACAAGTGCTCCTTCCAGGAGGGCAGGGTCCACAGTTCTGAGGTGAGGCGGGCACAGGGGCTGGGCTCCGCAAGGGCTGGGCTCCACAGGGGCTGGGCTCATCAGGGCTGGGCTCCCAGTGGGCAGGCCCCAGGCTTTTCTGTGTTGGGTGTCCTTATTTCCCTGAGCCCCCTCGGGGTAGGGTGGGTAGCTGACAGGCTTCTTCCCCAGGGCTGCCCTGAGATCCTGCCCAGCGGGGACCTCCTGATCCCCGTGGGAGTCCTACAGCCTCTTACCCTAAGGGCCAAGAACCTGCCACAGCCCCAGTCGGGCCAGAAGAACTATGAGTGCGTGGTCCGGGTGCAGGGGCGGCAGCAGCGGGTGCCTGCTGTTCGCTTCAACAGCAGCAGCTTGCAGTGCCAGAATGCTTCGGTAGGCGGCCCTGTGGCTTGTGGCTCCAGAGGCCTCTGGTGGCCCTGGCAGGGGGCATGACTGAGCCTGTGGTTACAAAGGATTTGGGGGATGGCTGCACAGTTCATCCAGGTAACTTGGGACCCTCTTCCAGTACTCCTATGAGGGCGATGAGTATGGCGAGGCTGAACTGGACTTCTCCGTGGTCTGGGATGGAGAGTTCTCTATCGACAAGCCTCCTGGCTTCCGAGGTGAGGGGCAGCTGGGAGCCAGGTTGGGGACCAGCCCTCCCAAGTCTTTTGCTGCCACCCCTGTCAGCCCACTCCTGTGCCTGCAGCCGTCCTGTACAAGTGCTGGGCCCAGCGGCCCAGCTGTGGCCTCTGCCTCAAAGCTGATCCCCGCTTCAACTGTGGCTGGTGTGTGTCGGAGCACAGGTGCCAGTTGCGGGCTCACTGTCCTGCCCCCAAGACCAACTGGATGCACCCGAGCCAAAGGGGCACCCGTTGCAGCCACCCCCGCATCACCCAGGTCAGTTGCCCCACTGCCCCTTCGAGCCTACGGGTCAGGCTGGCCCCTCACCTCCATCTTGCTCTGCAGATCCACCCACTCATCGGGCCCAAGGAGGGCGGCACCCGGGTCACTATCATGGGTGAGAACCTGGGCTTGGCCTCCCGAGAGCTGGGGCTGCGGGTGGCTGGTGTGCGTTGCAACTCCATCCCCGCTGAGTACGTCAGTGCTGAGAGGTGAGTGTGGCGGAATGGGGGAGGCAGCCCATCCAGTTGGCTCTGGCCCTGACCTCTCTTACCCCCAGGATTGTGTGTGAGATGGAGGAGTCACTGGTGCCCAGCCCGCAGCCAGGGCCTGCAGAGCTCTGCGTGGGTGACTGTTCTGCAGACTTCCGCACACAGTCGGAGCAGCTCTACAGCTTTGTGGTGCGTGGCTGCCCATCCCTCCAGCTTCCCCATTCCAGGGGGATTGGAGCTGCCCTTGCAGTGGGCTGGCTCCTCCCTCCGCTCAGGGCCGCTTCTCCCACAGACCCCGACATTTGACCGTGTGAGTCCTAGTCGGGGTCCAGCTTCAGGAGGCACGAGGCTCACCATCTCTGGCAGCTCTCTGGATGCTGGCAGTAGAGTCACAGTGACCGTGAGAGATGGCGAGTGCCAATTTGTGAGGTGGGTGCTGCGGGGCGGGTAGCTGAGGACCTTGGCTGCTGGGTGCTGCGGGGCGGGTAGCTGAGGACCTTGGCTGCTGGCTCCAGGCATCACACTTGCCAATGCAGGAGAGATGCTAAGGCCATCGTGTGTATCTCGCCCTTCTCCACCTTGGGCCCCAGCCAGGCCCCTATCACCCTCACCATCGACCGTGCCAACATCTCCAGTCCTGGAGTCATCTATACCTACACTCAGGACCCTACTGTCACTCGTCTGGATCCAACTTGGAGCATCGTCAAGTGAGACCTTGGGGGTGTGGGACGCCTGGCCAGTGTTGGGGGTCAGGGATAAGGTGTTGCCGGGCCCTCCTTCCAGCTGGAGCTCATCTGGGGAGGGCTGACCCGACCATGCAGTGGTCCAGGGCTCTCATGACAGCCTTGATAGTGCTTCAGGGCCAGGAGGGTGGCAATGAGGTAGGGAACCTGAGGGCCCTTGCCCCTGTCTCCAGTGGAAGCACTGCCATCACTGTGAGTGGGACCCACCTGCTGACAGTCCAGGAGCCCCGGGTCCGGGCCAAGTACCGTGGCATCGAAACCACCAATGTGAGTAGCGGCTACCCTGGCCCCACCCCAGGCCTTGCTGCCCATGGCCTTATGCACTGGGCTGCCCACCCCTGTCCCTACAGACGTGCCAGGTGATCAACGACACTGCCATGCTGTGCAAGGCTCCTGGCATTTTTCTGGGGCGGCCCCAACCACGGGCCCAAGGCGAGCATCCCGATGAGTTTGGCTTCCTCCTGGACCACGTGCAGACAGCCCGCTCCCTCAACCGCTCCTCCTTCACCTACTACCCCGACCCCAGCTTCGAGCCGCTCGGGCCCTCTGGGGTCCTGGATGTCAAACCTGGCTCCCACGTGGTGCTGAAGGTGCCTCTGGGTGGGAGAAGGGCAAGGGGTGTGGGGCAGTGAGGTGGGGAGCCCTGGGCTGATGGCTCCTTCACCCCAGGGCAAGAACCTAATTCCTGCAGCAGCCGGCAGCCCCC